GAGAGAGAGAGAGAGAGAGAGAGAGAGAGAGAGAGAGAGAGAGAGAGAGAGAGAAGAGAGAGGAAGAATACAAAAGCTAGAGAAAGGGATCCTCATGCACTGTTGATGGGAATGTAATTAGCACAGTCACTACAGAGAATACCACAGAGGGTCCCCAAACACCTAAGTGTAGGACTACCCTATGGTCCAGCTGTGGCACTCCTGGGCTCCTGCGTCTATACCTGAAGGAATCTGAGTCAGCATACAACGGAGACACCTGCACACCCATCTCAACTGTGGCATCCACAGCACTATCCACAGCAGCCACATTATGGCCTCAGCCCGGCTACCCATCAACACTGTGTGCAACGGAGTACTACTCGGCCAAAACAAAGGGAAATAAATGAACTGGGTGTGGTGGCAAATGCCTGACTTGGGAGAGAGAGGCAGGGGGATCAGGATTTCAAGATCTTTGGCTACACAGTGAGTTGGAAGCAAGCCTAGGTTACATGAGACCCTGTCTCAAAAGGGGATAGGGGGGTCAGATTATACAATCTTCAAGAAAATTGATAGAATAGGAGACCATCACGGTAAGTGGAATAACTCGGACTCAAAGACAAGTACTTCAGGTTTTACTGAATATTTGGACTCTAGAAAGACGAACAGGAGGAGGGGGAGAAGAGGACCACAATGAAAGCAGAGGTGGACTGTGTGGGGGAGGGGGGGTGAAAGGGGAGTGGGCGTCACCACAGTGCACTGTATAAATGAATGGAATTTAATGGAAGGAGTCAAGGGGCAGAGAAGGGAGGGGAGGGGAGGAGAAGAGTACGTCCTGGGGAACCTACATTTTCTTCTGAACTAGAGGCACCCTACGGGTCCTGTTCCATCGGTGTGGGAGCCCTGGCGTGCACAGCTGGGCAGATGCTTGGTGTCAGCATGGGCGTGAGTTCACGCTAAGAGGACAGCAGCACCGGAGCCCCCCCCCCCCCCCCCCCCCCCCCAAGCCCTTCCTCAGCACTTACCCAGCTCATCCACAGCATTGACATCGGCGTGGCTGGCAATGAGCTCTTCCACCATGCCCTCCACCGCCAGGCGGGCCGCCAAGATCAGTGCCGTAGAGCCATCTGCCATGCGGGCATCCAGGTCAGTGGAGCGGTTCCTGATGAGAATCTTTAAAAAAAAAAAAAAAAGGCCATGGCAGGACATCGGGCAGGAGCAGAGGAATGTATAGCACCTTGCACCTTGCGAGCGCCAAACCCCACAGCCTTGGGACCCATGAGTTACAGGTACTTCCAGACTTACAATAGGGTGATATTTCTGCTAATCCCATTTAAATCGAAAATAACTTCAATGAAAAAATGATTTAAATAATAGTATATAGGAGGCTAGGGAGATGGCTCAGTGGATATGCACCTGATTTTGGATCCATGTAAGAAGCCCAATTTTGCAATGTATGTAAACCCCCAGGCTGTATGGGACAAGGCAGGAGGACCAAGAGAGCTTGCTGGCTACCAGCCTAGCTCCAGGTTCAGTGACGGATTCTGTCTCAAAAGATAGAAAACAATAGAGCAAGATATCCAGCAGCAGTGGCGGTGCACGCCTTTAATCCCAGCACTTGGAGGCAGAGGCAGGAGGATCTCTGTGAGCTCGAGGCCAGCCTGGTCTACAGAGTGAGTTCCAGGACAGCCAGAGCTACACAGAGAAGCCTTGTCTCAAAACAAAGAAGGAAGGAAAACAAAAAACAAAAGACATCTGTGGTGATATTTTATTTGTACTGAAATGTGATTTTAATTTTATGTTAATAAATAAAGTTGCCCTGGGGTCAGAGCTATTAGAGCCATAGCAAGAGCATGGTGGTTAGAAGAGCTAGGTAAATTTCTGTGTGTTCAGGGATACAGCCAGTATTGGAGACATACGCCTTTAAGACCTGGAGGGCGGTACTTACAGGCAGTGATGAGGCAGTCATGTGGTTTGGTTTACAACCAATGAGAAGGCAGAACAGAAAGATTATTTAAACAGAGACACAGGAAGTACCTCCCTCTCTCGGGGAAGCTAGGAGCACTGCAGGAGGTAAGATTTTATCTCTGAGCTCTGACCTCTCGGCTTTCTCTTTTACATTGGCTCTGTGTTTCTTATTTTAAAAAGACGATTGGTTACATCTACAGACATCTAACAGCCTCCTTTGGCTTCTGCAATCTATACAACAAGCATGGGCACACACAGGTGCACATATGCCACACAAACACACAAACAAATCACACACAAAGTAAAACACACACACACACACACACACACACACACACACACACACACACACACCAGCACTCACAAAAAAACTCAAAAGTGCTAATAAAAGGTAACACCATAATAAAACACAGCACTTTATATGCTACAATTAAGAAAAAAATGAATCTTTGTTTTTGTCTCTAAGACAGGGTCTCACTGGGTAGCCCTGGCTGTCCTGGAACTCACTTTGTAGACCAGGCTGGCCTTGAACTCACAGAGCTTCATCTGCCTCTGCCTCCTAGGTGCCGGGATTAAAAGCATGTGCCACTATATCCAGGCAAACACCATGGGTTTAACATTTATACAGTGCATTGTGGCATGGTAATGTGTAATCCCACCACCTGGGGGTGCAGATACATGAGGATTATATATTCAGTACTAGCCTGAGCCATACACAAGACTGTCCAAAAAAAATAGTGCTGAACATCATGTACGTCCTTGAATATTTCACTGACTGAAAGTGGAGAAGCATGCTCAAGGTAGAAAAATCTAAGTCAGAGGCCAGGGAGGTGGCTCAGCAGGTGACGGCTTGCTGCCAAGCCTGTGTGTGTGTGTGTGTGTGCCTGTGTGTGCCTGTGTGTGCCTGTATGTGTGTGTGTGTGTGTGTGTGTGTGTGTGTGTGTGTGTGTGTGTATGTGTGCACGTGCATGCGCACGCACGCTCTGAGGAGGCCAGAAGACGGTGTCAGATCCCCTGGAGCTGGAGTCACAGGTGGTTGTGAGCCACCAGATGTGGATACTGGGAACCAAACTCAGGTCTTCTGAAGAGCAGCAGTAAGTGCCCTTAACCACTGAGCCATCTCTCCAGCTCCTGAGAACCAGTCCTTAAAAGTTATCCTCTGACCTCCACACTTATACTGTGGCACATGCGTGTATACACGCATGTAATTTTAAAGATAGTTTAAAAAAAAAAAATCTAGGTCAGGCACTACCTATTCTTGACAGGCAGTATGATCCAAATGGCAAAAACAAGCTTTGCAAGACAGGCCAGAGCTCAAATCCAGGTGGATCTGACGCCCACTCAGCAGCTCCACAGTCTGAAGAGACAGGCCTGTCTCACCTGGAAAACACCCTGGGCATCTGCTGTCACCGCCGTGTGCAGAGGGGTGCGGCCCGAATGGTCCTGGGCGTTGGTGTCCGCGCCAGCGTCCAGCAGCCGCTTGGCTGCATCCGCGCGGGCATAGCGGGCAGCCAAATGCAGGGCGGTCTCGCCAGTGCGGTCAGTTCGTGCTCCGAGCTGGGCCCCCTGGCAGATCAGGTCTGATATGATGCTGGCTGATGTGTCATCCGCCTCATCCTCCTCAGCCGGCATCGGCTCCAGGGCTCCCCCGCAGAAGGAGGCCAGCATAAGTGGTGTGAAGCCATCTGCGGGGACCAGGAGGGTGTCACAGGCATAGGGGTCTTCCTGAGGGACAATGCCAGGGGCACTGTAGTAGACGCAACTGGGGCACACTGCACCGTAAGACAGGTAAATTCTCCCCAACTGCAAAGCCACCCCAACAAAAATCACGTGATTTATCATGAAAGGGATTCCAGGAAGCAGAGCGTTAAGAATAAAAGGAAGGGGTACTACTCCTTCGCTGGCTTTTCTTTTCATGCATCCCCAGTAGCAAGTCCTACTTAGACCAGACGGGGACTGGTTTATTTGCATCTTATCGTCCCCTAGCCACACTGACTGGCCCGTGGATGAGTACATGGTTCTAGTCTGCCCAGTCAGAACGCATTCTGAGACTTTCCCGACAAGCTGTACAGCTGGAGCTAAGTGTGAAAAGTAAATCAAATATCCAGGATCCAAGGGCTTGGGGGTAAACTGGACCGCCTGAATTCGATCCCAGACTGTGGCAGGAGATAACCAGTTCCAGCAAGGTGTCCTCTGACGTCCTCTTGCACTAATGCACACAAATAGGTGTCATTTTTAAATAAACCCCAGCTGGGTGTGGTGGCACACACAAGTAATTCCAGCACTTGGGAGGCAGAGGCAGGCTCTGTGAGTCCACATCCTCATCTACAGAATGAATTCCAGGCCAGCCCAAACACTGTCTCAAAAAAAAAAAAAAAAAAAAGCCTAGCAGTGGTGGCTCTGCCTTAATCCCAGCACTCAGGAGACAGAGGCAGGAGGATTTCTGTGAGTTCGAGGCCAGCCTGGTCTACAGAGTGGGTTCTAGGACCAGCCAGGGCTATCTCAGAAAAAAAGAAGAGAAAACAGAAGGAAATCTCAGCCTCATGAAGAAAAGTTCAGGATCCAGTTATCTTCAGTTTCTAGCTACACGCCAGTGTATGCTGTTTTACTTAAACTGCTTTGCATTGGGCCCTTATCACTTACAACCTAAAGTCTGGCTTAACACCCGCACCAGGCACAGAAGCCCGGGCACTCCCAGAATACAGTCCCATGTGTGATCTATCAATAGGACCAAGGAGAAGTCTTTAGGGAGGGGCACTCACCGGGGCCACGAACGTTGACATCCATGCCATCAGCATCTGCGTCACCCTGGGGGGGAGTCAGTGCCATGGCCGGTGCCACACGGATATCAGCGGCAACCAGGTGGTGTTGGGTCCATTGGCGACAATCCACAGGCTCCTCAGCCCCCATGCTTGGCTCTTCTACCTGGAGGGACACAGATGCAGGCTCTGATCTCCTGTTTGGGGTGGGACAGGACCAGAGAGGGGTGGGGAGTCCCACGGTGTCACTGATGAAGCTGTATCCAGGTCAAGGAGACCATCAAATAGTGGGAAGAGGGCTCAGCTGGTAGACGTACTTGTAGATTAGACATGGCTCTCCACACATTGCCTTGGCACACATGTGCCCACACATGCAAACATGTGCACACATACACAAAAATAAATATTTAAAAAAGAAAAAGAACAAAACATTTTTAATTAAATTATCAAAATAAGAGATAACTTGCCACCAAGCCTGATGGCCTAAGTTTGATCCCTGGAATCCACAGTGGACAGAGAGAAATGACTCCCACAAGTTGTCCTCTGACCTCCACACACATGATATGGTACACATGCCCAACACACACACACACACAAAGTAAATAATAAACAAATGGTTGTTTGTTTGTTTGTTTGTTTGTTTGAGACAGGGTTTCTCTGTGTACCTCTGTCTGTCCTGGAACTCCTCCTGTAGACCAGGTTGGTCTCAAACTCACAGAGATCCACTTGCCTCTGTCTCCCGAGTGCTGGGATTAAAGGCGTGTGCCACCACCTGGCAATGTAAATTTTTTTAATTATCAAAATAAAGCTGTCATGGTGGCACACCTGTAATCTAGCACTCATGAAGCAGAGTCAGGAGGACAAATAGTTCACAGCCAGTCTGGCCTAAATATTAAGACTCTCAAAAAAAAAAAAAAAAAAAATAGGACGCTAGCCACACCCTTAATACCACCAGCACTTGGGAGGCAGAGGCAGGTGGATCTCTGAGTCTGAGGCCACCTGGTCTATATAGTCAATCCTAGGCCAGCAAGATGGCTCTGCAGGTAAGCACACTTACTGCTAAGCCTGATGACCTGATTTGGACCCAGGGGACCCACATGGGTTAGGAGAAAACTGATTCTTCCAAGTCGTCCTCCGATCTCCACACAACACTGTGGTATGTGTATCTAACACATACATGAAATAAATAAAATGTGTTTGTTTGTTTGTTTGTTTTTTAAAAAGGTGTTTTAAATTATGTGCATGGGTGTTGTGCCTGTATGTCTTTGTACTGCATGCATGCCTGGTGCCCGTGGAATCCAGCAGGCACCAGGTCCCGTCTTCTGGAACTGGAGTCACAGACTCTAAGCCACTCTGTGGGTGCTGGGACTCAAGCACAGATCCCCTGGAAGGGCAGCCAGCACTCAATTGTTGAGCCATCTCTCCAGCCCCCAATTTTTTGTTTGTTTGTTTTGTATTTTTTTTTCCAGAGCTGAGGACCGAACCCAGGGCCTTGCGCTTGCTAGGCAAGTGCTCTACCACTGAGCTAAATCTCCAACCCCTGTTTTGTATTTTTTTTATTTATCTATTTTACAACTCAACTGATGTTTCCCCTCCTTCCTCTCCTTCCAGTCCCCCACCCCAACATCCACTCCTCCATTTCTATTCAGAGGTCACGTCTCCCATGGATATCAACCAAACACGGCATATCAAGTTGAAGGCTGGACAAGGCAACCCAGTATGAGGAAAAGGGTCCCAAAAGCCAGCAAGAGTCAGAGACAGCCCCCACTCCCACTGTTAGGAGTCCCACAAGAACACCAAGCTACACAGCTGTCACATGTATGCAGAGGGCCTGGGTCAGTCCCATGCAGACTCCCTGGCTATCAGTTCAGTGTCTCTGAGCTCCCATGAGCCCAGGTTAGTTGATTCTGTGTGTTTTCTTGTGATGTATTGACCCTTCTGGCTCCTACAATCCTTCTTCCTCCCTCTTCCTCTGCCTAATGTTTCAGTCTCCAATTTTTTAAAAAATAAAATAAATAAGAAGAGCAAAATATTTGGAGTTTTAAAAAATTAAATGCAGTTCTCATATTCTATGAACTACAGTTCCCTAGTAAAAGAAATGTAGAGGCTAGATGTTGTGGCACATGTCTGTGATCCCAGCTATTGGAGCTGAGGCAGGAGGATTGTTTTCTTTATACACTGCCCAGCCCTCAGGTAGTGTGTTAGTGTGTTAGTGTGTGTGTGTGTGTGTGTGTGTGTGTGTGTGTGTGTGTGTTGTGTGTATGTGTGTGCCCATGAGTATGGAAGCCAAAGAACCAGCTCAGATGTCACTGCTCAGGGACCGTCCATCTTCTCTCATGAGACAGGTTCTCACTGACCAGGGTCTTGCCAAGGAGGGCTAAGCTAACTAACTAGCCAGGAGTCTGCTGGCTCCACCTCACCAGCACTGGGTTTACAAGTGTACCACATAGCGCCTGGGTTGTGTTTTGTTTCTGTTTTCCCATGTGGGTTCTGGGAATCAAGCTCAGGACCTCAGCACTTTACCGACTGAACCATCTGAAAATGGAGAGACCAGCCAAATGGGTAGGGTTCCTAGAGATAAATGGAGTCCAAGACCAGCTGGGGACACTTTCAGCCTGGACATGCTGGACAAAGAACAGAAAAAGCAGTCACTCTGAGCCAGAGTGCTCCCTCTAAGGCAGTGGTCTCAACCTTCCTAATGCTGTGACCCTTTAATACGGTTCCTCATGTTATAGTGACCCCCAACCATAAAACTCTTCATTGCTACTTCATAACTGTAATTTTGCTACTGTTATGAATCATAGTGTAGATATCTGATATGAAGGATATCTGATACGCGACCTCTGTGAAAGGGTTGTTTGACACCCGCCCCCCAAGGGGTCGTAACCTACAGGTTGAAAACCACTGCTATAGAATAGCCTGGGAGCAGGAGCTTGTGTGAGGAAGAACCAGACGGAGAAGGGGTAACCCGGGTAACCCGTGGCAAATCTCCTTCCCTCCTAACAAGGCAGCAGAGCCACATTAAGAAGAAAATGAGGTCACACAGATGTAGCAATTGTCTGGATCTGGGCAATGGAGAGAACGGAGACTTCCCCAGGCTCTCCAGCTGACCAGGGTGTCATGACCTGGGGCCCGGAGGGAAAGAGAGAAGAAGCAGGTAATACCTTCAGTCTCTTGGCCTCTGGGCACTCTGAGTCCATCCAGTCAGTGGCCATCTCCCCCATCAGACTCTCGCTTTTGGCCATGTTCCTTGGGGAAAACAGGAAGAAAAAAACTTAAAAAAGTGCACTGGAGACATCTGGCCTGGAAGGAGGATGTAGGGTTCAATTCAGGCAGAGGTCATAGAGGCAAGTCGTGGGTCAGGAATTGAGGCGGGGTCTTGGGTTGTTGACAGGTTCCAAAGAGGGATGGAAGGATAGAGGTGAAGTTACAGGAATCACGTCAGTTGGCAATCAACCTTTTTTTTTTCCCCATTTGTGTATGGCTGTGTGTGCACATGCATGTTTTGGGCACACGAGTGTGCATGTAGGTGTGCAGATATGAAGTTGATAAATAGGAATCATCTTCAATCTCTCTTCAAGTCTTGGTCATTGAGGCAGGGTTTCTCAATCAAACCAAGAGCTCATGGATATGAGCTAGTTAGCTTGCTCTAGGAATCAGGACTGCACCTTCCAAGGCAGGCTGCCATGTTGTGGACTATTACTTTAACTACATAAAGGTGTTACATTTGTTTATGTCATGGACTATAACTATATAAAGGCGTGTTACATTTGTTGATGCTGCATTTGTTTAATTATGTAAAGGTGTGTTGCTGCTTCACCTTGCCTGCCTAAGGCACCTGATTGGTCTAATAAAAAGCTGAATGGCCAATAGCAGTAGAGGGATAAGCAGGCCTGGTGGGCAGAGGGAATACATAGAGGGAGAGACGAGAAGAGAGAATGAGGAAGAAAGAGAGGGAAATGCCTGGAGCCCGAAGCCAGGCAAGCCGCCAGCCCACCAGACACGAGGAAGCAGGAAAGTAGGACATACAGAATGAAAGAAAGGTAGAAAGCCCCGAGAAAAAATGTAGATGAAGAGAAACAGGTTAAAACAAGATCTAAGACAAGGCTGAGCATTCATAACTAGTAACAAGTCTCCGTGTCATAATCTGGGAGCTGGTTGGTGGCCCCAGAGAAAGCCTGCCCTACGCTGCCATGCCCACCAAGCATTTAGGGAACTTATGACATTTATATGGGTTCTAAGGATCCAGACTCCAGCCGGCACTCCTGCTCAGCAATCCCTTAAAGTCCTGAGCCACCCCTCAAGCCCCAGGCAGCCAGAATCTCAAGGTGTCAGGAGTGGTACACGCAATGGAACAGGGATAGATAAGGAAAATGAGGGATCTAGACGATAGTGTCAAAGCTCATGGAAGAGGAGTTATTCATGGCTAATGGAGGGGTAGCCAAGATTGAAAATGTCATGCTGAGGAGTCATGGAATCCTAGGGGAGGTTAAAATCAGGATACAGTTGTAGGTATTGAGGGATAAGTCAAGTTGGAGGCTTGGGATCAAGGACCACAGGGAAATGAACACTGGATTGGGTGGAAACAGGGGTCTGGGGTGAGGTCAAAGTTACGGGTGGGTTGAAACCAGAGGGGATTCAGGGATCATCAAGGACACAGTCCTCCTAGTCAGGGACAGGTTGAGATGATGACGTAGGTCTTGAGGACAGCAGTCACAAGGGAATGAATCAGAATGAAGTTTGTGAGCCCAGCTCAGGATGGGGCTAGGGAAGGATATGAGTCAGGAAATGGATAGAAATAGAAAATAAGATCAAAGGTCAGGGATCATGGGCGATCCCTAGGGATCATGGGCGATCCCTAGGGATCATGGAGTCTTTGGTCAAAAGGATGAACATTGAAGCCCCAGATGGAATCTTAAGTTAAAGAAGTCAGGTGGGGGTCAGAGGTTGGAATATGACCAAGGTGGGGATGACCCAGAGCTTGCAAGGGCCCCATAGTTATGGATAGAGAGCAGACAAGGTCCTCACTTCATGCCCAATGCATCTTGTCCCACGGGCTCCCTCCGGCCCTTGTGGCCAGCTGCTATGTCCTTGTGTAGTGCAAAACCCTCAGGGAACCAGAGGGTGCTGTGTTCACGCTTGCGCCTGGCCACCATGACACCCAGGATGAAGATGACCAGCAGAAAGACGGCCCCGGCCACCAGCAGCGGCAGCAGGGGCACGCTCTGCTCCGGAGGCTCCAGCGGCTCTCCTGTAAGAAGGAAGCAGTGGGTGAGCCCTCAGCCAAGGAGCAGAGCAGGAACAACCCTGCGGGGTTTCCGTCATAGGCGATGCTCAGATGTGGAGCGAGCAACTAGAGGTGGGCTTCGACTGTGAGAGGCTCTCACCCACGGGGCTGGCTTAGCTACGGGGCAGGGCTTCAGCCAGAAGACCGAACCACTAGGATCGAACCACTCTCTGGGGCCACGTGCTCTAATGGCCCGCTCTTCTTCCCACCTCACCTCGAACGTCCCGCAGTGGGTAGGGGAAATCAAGTCGCTCTACTGCTGACAAGGCTCCCAGGTAGTCAGCGGCGCTCTGGGCATCTGGGAAGCAGTGGTCATTCTCGGGTGACTGCAGGCAGAGCCGATTGTCAATCTCCAGCATCACTACAGAGCTGCGGGAACAGAGCCAAGGGACCCAAAGACTCAACAGCTGTCTATAGCATCCTAGAAAACCTCAGAAAGCCACCCCCATCACCACACCACCCACCCAACTCTCAGCTGAGATCCAACCCCACTAAAAAAAAACCTGTGGAAGACGCATTGCGAGGGAGCGCTCTCAATTAAGAAGCGTGAAACCCAAGGTCTGGATCATCGGTGCCCTGTCCACTGTACCCAGCCTTGGGCTATAGTCACTCACCCGATCACCTCGGGACCCAGCTCACGCCGGACCCGGGATTCAGAGCCAGGGCTCGGCCGGTGGTAGGGGAAGACCATGGCCTGGCCCCGCGCATCCAGGCGGAAGCGCAGTGAGGTGCGCAGAATAGCGCTGAGTCGCTGCAGGAAATCGGCGCTGGAACGCAGCAGCTCTTCAGGGGGCAGAAGAACCGTGAGGACCAGAACCCCTCGGGCCAGAAGGGCCGGGACCTCGCTGGCGCAGTCCAGCCCATCCCAACCACACTCCTCAGTGTTGCAGCCCTGGTCACAGCGGCCATCTGCAAAGTGGTCGGCGCAGTACTTCTCATACACCGGGCTGGAGGCAGAGAACACATGGTGAGGGATCCCCCAGCCACCTAAATACACACATGGCAAAAAGAGTACTGCACAGTGCTTGCACAGGCGGCTAGAATGTCATTGCAAATGTCCTTACAGCCCTTTCTGTAAACGCAGCTGTTGGCTGTATAACCACACAGGTTCTGTGTCCGTAATTAGAAATACTTGGGACTAAAACTATTTCAGAGTTTAAATTAATTTGAGTTTTAGAATGTTTGCCTAATTGCTTAAATATTATATATGCAATGAAATATCTTTCTATACATATTGTTTTAAGATATGATCTCATGTATCTCAGGCTGGCCTCAAACTCCTATGTCAGCCAGACATGAGGGCATACACCTCTAATCCCAGTACTCCCGGCAGAGGCAGTGGGGTGTTTCTGTGAGTTTGGGGCCAGCCTGGGCTACATAGTCAATTCCAAGCCAGCCAGGGCTACATAGTGAAACCCTAGCCCTATTTAAAAAAAAGAAAAAACAAAAAACAATGTAGCTAAGAGTGATCATGAACTGTCCTGCCTTCACCTGCTGAGTGCTGGGATCACAAGCATGCATCGCCACTCACACGTTAGGTGGTGCTTGAGGCAAAACCCAGGACTTTGTGCATGCGAGGCAAGCGCTCCACCGCCTGCGCTTCATCCCCAGCCCTCTATACATGATTTACGTAAGGCGCCTCAGGGACGAGGCCTGAGTCTAAACACAAAGGGACACAGCCCAAAAGTAGCTGAGTGTGCCTGAGTTTGGGGGTTGTTTTATTTCCATGCTGGGGATTGAACCAAGGGCCTCATGCCATCTCGGCAGTCCTCGGCCACTGAGCTACATTTCAGCCTGTGCCTGAATTCTGACTGCAACCTGTCAATGAAGTAAAGGATGGGATTTTCCACTGTGGCATCATGCCCATGCAGCACACAGTTCAGGGTTTCGGGTTTGGGATTAGGGGTGCTCAACATCAATTATTAACTGAGCACCTGCTGCATGCTGCTCTAAATACCAAGATCCCACACACAAATCCTTGCCTCAGAAGAACTGGCATCCCTGTGGGTAGAGAGGGATGTCATAGGAGACAAGTGAGGAGAATGTTCAACATTCTAATTAGATGACAATCAATGGTAAATATAAATGTGCATGTGGTACTATTTGGAATTAAATACTAGGAAGCAAGGGACGTGCTGGGGACACCTAGGAGTAATTTACAATGTAGATAACACCATCTAAGCAAAGGCTTGAAGGAGGTGGGCAGAACTTCGGGGAAAAACAATTCAGCCAGTGGGAGTAAGCAGAGCGTCCCCAGGTAAGAGCAGGCATAGGACATCTGAGGAGGTCAGGGTGACTGGGGCGCTGGGGAAGGTTGGAATGGAAGATTGTGAGGAGACAAAGGTAGGAGAGGGCTCCAGACAAACAGAGGGGCACACAAAAGGATGCAGAGGTACAGAATGTATGGGACAGAGAGGAACAAGCAAGGAGACCCGACAGACAGGGGAACAGGAGACGGAAGGCACACAGAGGGAGACAGAGGATCCCTGGCATGGCAGGATGGCCATTAGAGGCCTCTGGGTGAACAAGTGGGACCCAAAGGTGGGCAGACAGATGGCACAAGAGAACAGACTAGCAGATGGACAGATGGATGGACAAGCAAAAGTACAGACAGCTGGGCATACAGACAGCCCCGGGAACCCACAGGGTGAGAGGAGAGGGCAGATCCCTGCAAGCTGGTCCTCTGACCTCCACAAGCACACACACTAAATTGGTAAGTGCAATGTTTTGCTTTTGTTTTAAGACAGGCTCTCACCATGTAGCCCTAGCTGGCCTGGAACTCAGTACATAGACCAAACCTTGAATTCATATAGCAATCTGCCTGCCTCTGCTTCCCAAGTCCCAAAATATACCCACTTCCCAAGTCCCACTATACCCAGCTTAATTTTTAAAATTTTAAGGAAGACAGAAGAACAAGTCATAAGTATAGACAGATGGGCTATGTAACTGCAGGCACGCAGAAGCAAATGGGCAAGATATGAAAATACAAACAGACAAAGATGAGACACACAGGTGTGAGAAACGAAGGACCAGCCCCATCAGACAGTCCAAAGACGGACTTTCAGGGAAACTGGGCCAGATGTGGCTCACTGACAGACAGTGCAGCAGCGTATAGGTGGACAGAGGGACAGAGTCGGGGGCTCACTTGCAGGTGCGTTCGCGGCCACCAGCGTAGCAGTCGAAGTTGTCATAGAGGCAGGCTGGAGAGCTGCAGGCTGGGTCACACCGGCTGTTGTTGAAGAGGCGCCAGCACTGCAGTGCCTCACACTGCCGCCAGGGGTCGTCCACGCTCAGCGAGCAGTCGCCGCCGTCCCAGCCACAGCCCGGGCTGTTGCATTCGCGATCGCAGTTCTGGTCCCCTCGCTTGGCCTGACAGGCGGCTCTCGGGCACCGTGGCTCCTCGGGGACCTCAGGAGCTGTGGAAGGGGTCTCGCAACGCGGGCCAGCCCAGCCCGGCGCGCATACACAGCGGAAGAAAGGGACGATCTGTACCGGCAGGCATGAGCCCCCATGCAGACACGGGGCAGCTGCGCAGCTGGCGTTAGTTGCTCCTGAGGGCGACGCCCTAGAGACCCGGCAGAAGGGCCCGGACAGCCCGGGAGGACAAGCACAGCGCGGCCCGCGAGCGGTCTGCTGGCATGGGATACCCACCGGGCACTTCAGCTCTCGGCAGGAGCGCGCCACCCTCTCACAACGCAGGCCCCAGAACGGCTAGTGAGAGAACCAAAAGAGGAAAATTGGTAGTGAGAAGAAAAGAAACAGGAGGTGAAAAGAGAGAAGAGTGAGGGTCGAGACTTGAGAAATGATGACACCCCACCCCCACCTGCGTCTCCCCATCCAGCGACCTCCCCTTTCCTCTAAAGACCTGACTTTGAAGATAAGCCCCGCCTTCCCCAGGAGGCCACATGGCCAAGCCACGGCTTCACTAAGTTACACTCCAAACCATAATTCAGCATCTCTCAGAACCCCTTTGCCTTCCCCTTTCCCTTACAGACATACCCTTCCCCAAGGGCCTCCATCCCTGCCACGCACACCTACCTGGACACAGTGACAGGTGAAGGTCAGCCCACCTCCAGGGCCTGAGCTGGGACGGCACTGGCCTCCATGCTGACAGGGCTGGGACTCACAAGGGGACAGGGCAGTCTGACATCGAGGCCCTAGACAAGCAGATCCCAGAGGTTCAACCACAATGGCAGACCCACAGTCAGGTTCCTGGCCGGTCTATCTGCCATACTTACCTGTGAAGCCGGGATGGCAGAGGCAGCGGAAGTGCCCACCTGGATCTTGTAGGCAGTCCCGGGTGTGTGCTGCGTGGCAGGCACCTGGGCGGCACTCATTGATGTCTGCCTCACAGTGCAGACCCGTGTATCCCGGGGGACAGTTACAGCGGAAGCCACCCACCAGGTCCACACAGGTGCCATTGTGTAGGCACCGGAGGCCTGAGTCCAAGGATGATGAGCCTGGGCCACAGTCATCCTCATTGATCTCACAGAGCACTCCTGGGGGATGGGACAGTGGTCAGTCAAGTCTAGAGACTGCCTCTTCTCCTGTCCCCCAACCCTGGCCTTGACATACCGAGTGTGCCAGGGGGACAGGAACAGAGATATCGGGCCACAAGGTCAATACAGGAGCCTCCATGCTGGCAGGGCTGGGAGGCACACTCATCCACATCGTCCTCACAGCTGTCACCAGAATAGCCGGCAGGACACTGGAGTGGGGCAAGAAAGGGGTTCACTCAGGCCTAGGGGACACAGACACGCCCAGGCATACCTGTGGACATGGAACCCCAGCACAAAAGGACACACATAGACATCCAATATGCAGCCAACATAGAGGGCAGCTTTACTCAGTACAGGGAAACACACTGTCCTTGTAATTTTTTTCTCAACTTGAACTAAACCTAGACCTATCTGGGAAGAGGGAATCTCCCTTGAGAAATTGCCTCCTTCAGATTGGCCTGAGAATAGCTGTGGGTATATATATTCTTGACTGCTTGATGTGGAGGGACCCAGCCCACTCTGGGTGATCCCATCCCCAGGCAGGTGGGCCTGAGCTATAGAAGAAAGGTAGCCGAGCAATCCAAAGGAAGCTAGCCAGTAGGCAGCATTCCTCTGTGGTCTCTGCAGCCTCCTGCCTCAGGCTCCCGCCCCGGCTTCCCTCAGTGATGGACGGTAACCTATGAGTTGAAGTAAACCCTCCCTCCCTCGGGTTGCTTCGGGTCAGAGTGAGACTGGGGAGGCCACCAGCACAGCCGGTACACAGAAACGCACAAGGGAAACACCCATCTAGACGCAGACACTGGCAAGTCCCTCAGACCCACAGAGACACAGAACTGGAGACAGAAACTCACACAAATGTGCCCAAATCCATCCACAAAGACATGAGGGTTAGGAGCTGAAGAGATGGCTCAGTGAGCAAGAGCACGTGCTGTACAACCAGGGGGACCTGAGTTCAAATCCCCAGCACCCACTTAAAAAGCTACCAGCCCAACTTCAGGTTCAGGGAGAGAAACTCAAGGGAATAAAGCAGTGGTAGAGGGGACACTGATGTCTTCCTCTGGCCTCCCAGCACACTCCTGGGTGCACCCAGTGCACACACACAGACATACACCCATAAGAAGGGAAAAAAGACTGCTAAGTCTGGTTGCACACTTCTCTAGTCTCAGCACTCAGGAGGCAGAGGCAGGTAGATCGCTAATAGTTCAAGGCCAGCCAGAGCTACATAGCGAGACTCTGCCGAAGAGGAGGAGGAGGAGGAGACGACAAGACATGCAGCCAGGTGTGGTGGTGGCGCATGCCTTTAATCCAGCACTTGAGAGCCAGAGGCAGATGAATCTCTAGGAGCCGGAGTATAGATGACTTACTTACCTCCATACATGAAGCATCCCTGTTCCCCCACCTCAGAAAGAGACATGCCCACACCAGGGAAAAGAAACACACCCAAGCACGATTAGCTTCTCTTCCCTCTCCCTGGGGTGCACACTTACCTCACACACATAGCCCCCCATGTAACCACGGCAGGTGCCCCCATGGTGGCAGGGCTGGGCTGTGCAGGGGTCCACTTCCTGCTCACAGTGACTCCCGGTGCGGCCCTCTGGACACACACAGTAGTGGGAGTGGTCCTTGTCTACACACTGTCCACCTGCCTGACACAGCTGCTCCGACAGCACCCCTGAGAAGCGGAGAGCAGCCTCAGGCCATGCACCCTTCCCTCTTCTGGGCCACATCACACATACATCCAGCATCCCTGCCGGCATCAATCCCTAGTGTCTCACTCACAATCCAGAGGGCGGTCAGGCAACTTTTCAACAGGCCTGGTCTGCTTCCATAACGCTCAACTTTGATACCCCTACCGGCTCATACAGACACACACACACACACACACACACACACACACACACACACACACACACGCAGCAGCCCAGCTTGTCTCCCACGACAGACACCATCACCATCCTGGCCAGCTATTCCACAGTCACACACACACACACACACACGGAGCCACACACCTCGTTAGACCCGCATGCTGTGTGGCACCGTCACACTCCCTTCAGCCCCACACGCCCACCGCGTGCTGCCCCTCACCCATCTGGGCTGCAGCCTCCTTGCAGGGTAGACTCTGTATGTCACACAGGCGGCCACTCCATCCAGGGGGACAAAGGCAGTAGGCCCCAGTCTGGACACAGCGACCCCCATTCTGGCAGGGTGACTGGCTGCACCAGTCCACCAGATTCTGCAAAAGAACCCCTCAAGGTCAGCGCTGGGAGAGACCCCAGAAACAAGGCGGGCTTCTCCCTCCAGGATGCCCCACAGGCCCCAGCTGGTTTCCGGACTCTTCCCCAGGACCTCAGACACCACCCACCTGACAGTGACTCCCAGTGAAGCCCTCCCGGCAGGTGCACTGAAACCCCGGGTGGGTGGGGCTGCAGATGCCCCCATGCAGACAGGGCCGGGAGAGGCAGGGGTCAGCCTCATATTGGCAGTGGGTGCCTTTGTAGCCCGGGCGACAGAGACAGCTGAAGGAGTTCACGCCGTCCACACAGGTCCCTCCGTTGAAGCAGGAACTAGAAAGCAGGACAAGGGGATCAAACTCCACCACCTTGAAGGCCAGCCTGACCCTCCTAGAACTAAGTGCTTCCCAACGTCCAGTTCTCACTGTCCTCAACAAGCTATAGCTCTGTAGAGATCCCACCTGGTCCCTTCACCTATGGATCCTGCTCCAGTCTGGGCCTCGCAAGGGCTGGAGTCTGTGACTTCCATGCAGCCTTGCCCTTTCTTGGACATGTGCCATCATCACCAGAGCCCCCAGACAGATGCCAAGCCCAGGGAGCCCTCTCTGGTCCGCATTCTGTCACAGGGCCCTGAGTGTCCCAAGCCCACGCCCCACCCACCTGGGGCTGCAGTCCGGCAGGTCATTCTCACAGTGGAAGCCTCCGTAGCCAGGTGGACAGGTACAGGTGAAGGAGGCCACGTGGTCAGTACAGGTGCCAGGGCCACAGGGGCTGCTCAGACACTCATCCACGTCCAGGGCACAGGTAGGGCCAGCAAAGCCAGTGAGGCAGGAGCAGGAAAAGGAGCCCACGCCGTCCTGGCAGGAACCGCCATTGAGGCACGGGTCTGCAGTGAGCAGGAAGGAAGCCTGGTCATTCCCTATGCCCACGTCAGCCTGGCCTGACCCAACCACACTTCACACAGGAAGAAGCCAGATTCAATCTAGAGGGGATGCTCCTTTTGTTTGTTTGCTTGTCTTTGAACCAGGGTCTTGCTACGTAGCCGTGACAGATCTGGAGTTCAATACGTAGAACGGGCTGGCCTCGAACCCAGAGATGAGCCTACATTCTGCCTCCTGAGTGTTGAAATTAAAGGCGTGCACCACCACCACACATAGTCCAGAGGGTCACTCCTGATCAGAGATCAAAGTTTGCCCCTTTTGTGGTTAAAGCCTCTTCCTACAAGTTGTCCTCGGGCCCCCACATGAACACTATAGCACACATGTGCAATGTACACACAAGTAAATAAATGTAAAAGCAAAGCCCGGTCTACAGAGCGCGATCCAGGAAAGGCGCAAAGCTACACAGAGAAACCCTGTCTCAAAAAACCAAAAAATAAAAAATAAAAATAAAAAAAAATAAATGTAAAAGCAAATGTTAAATCCCTTTGGAGGAGAAGGAGATGGGGAGGGGGAAAAGGGGAGGTGGGGATAGGGACTGGAAAAAATTAATTAATAAATAAAAATAAAATTTAAAAACTCCCCTTTGAGCTGTAAAGCTGGCCCTACCTATCCTGAAATTCAGACTCTGCTGTGGAATATTCCTTTACACTGTGTGAAGATGTGTCACTGTGACTGGTTTAATAAAGAACTAAATGGCCACTAGCTAGGCAGGAAGAGGTTAGGTGGGACTTCTGGGGACAGAGAGCTCTGGGAAGAAGAAAGGAGAGGTCGCCAGCCAGACACAGAGGAGGCAGCATGGGCAGTACCGAGTAAAGGTAACTGAGCCACATAAAAGAACTTAGATTAAGAGATCTGGGTTAAGTTATAAGAACTAGTTAGGAACAAGCCTAAGCTAAGGCCAATCTTTCATAATTAATAAGTCTCCATGTCACTTTTTGTGAGTGGTAGCCCAAAGAAAAATCCACATACAAGAATCTGCAGGTTTGCTGGGCAGTGGTGGTGCACGCCTTTAATCCCAGCACTCGGGAGGCAGAGGCAGGCGGATCTCTGTGAGTTCGAGGCCAGCCTGGTCTACAGAGTGAGATCCAGGACAGGCACCAAAACTACACAGAGAAACCCTGTCTCGAAAAAAAAAAAAAGAATCTTCAGGTTCAACCAGCAGATGAGAAAGAGTGAAAACCAGAGCTCACATGAGGACTGCACACGCACTTTCTTCTCCTTACTCCCTAAGCAACAGAGAGTAACAAGCACGTGCGGTGACATCTACACTGTGCTTGCTACTTTAAGCTGTGTAGAGGGTCCGGGAAGGTGGTTTGGCCGGGGAAGGTGCCTGTCACCCATGACTGACTACCTGAGTTCAATTCCTGAAATCCACACGGTGGAAGGAGATAACCAACCCCTCCAAGTTGTCCTCTGGCCTCAACACGTGCAATGTAGCAAGTGTGTGCACGAACACACACACACACACACACACACACACACACACACACACACACACACACGCCATACACACAATAATAAGATTTAAATTAAAAATTAAGCCTAAATTAGTAAGACGGCTCAGCATGGGCTGACACCTGCCACCAAGCCCGACATCCTGAGTCGTAGCCCTAGGTCCCTGGAGGCAGAAGGACAGAATCCCCAAAAACTGTCCTCTGACCTCTACATGTGGCACACATACACACAATAAGTCAATGTGGAAATTTTTAAATAAAAAGTAAGTTATCCAGAGATGATTTAAAGTCTCTGGGAGGATATGCAGAGGCTATTTGCAAATATTAAGCCATTTTAAAACAAGAGACTTGAGCACCCATGGAGTCTGGTATCCAGTCTCAAAGCACCAAGGGACACATGTACTGTTACTGACTGCTCAGATTGGTGAGCTCAGCACAGACCTTGGTGACTAGGGTAGCCACTACTAGCCACAGGAGACTAATGGGCCCTTGACATTCCTGCTAGTCCAAATTAAAAAAAAAAAAAAAAAAAAAAGCTGCAAATGTAAAATACATTTAGCAGAATTCAAATTTTCAAAAGCCTATACGTGGAAATGAAAATATTTTCTTGTTTGTTTGTTTTTTGTTTTGTTTTTTTTGGTTCCTCTGTGTAGCCCTGGCTGCCCTAGAACTCACTCTGTAGACCAGGCTGGCCTCAAACTCAGAGATCCGCCTGCCTCTGCCTCCCCGAGTGTTGGAATTAAAGGCGTGCGCCACCACCGCCCGGCCATGTGATTTTTTATCATTACTTTGTGCATGCGTGCGTGTGTGCATGCGTGTGTGTGTGTGTGTGTGTGTGTGTGTGTGTGTGTGTGTGTACATGTGGTATTTGTGTAGAGCAGAGGACAACTCGTAGGACTGAACTCGGGTCATCAGGCTTGGAGACAAGCCCCTCTAACTGCAGAGTCATCTCAGCAGCCCAGTGCTTATTGAGTTAGCAGTGCTGCAGGCGGAACTAAGGCCCTCGTGCGTGGGGAGGGTGACAGAGCTGTGAGGACACAGCAACACTGTGCCAGGCACATATATGGCTTGGCGGGTGGGTTCCCTGGGGAAGTGCCCCCATAGCTCCCTGCACTTACTGGGGGCACAGTCGTCAATGTCCTGATCACAGAAAGGGCCAGTGTATCCCCCATGGCAGATGCACCTGAAGCTCCCAGGAAGGTTGGTGCAGGTGCCATGGGGGCCGCAGGGTGAGGCACTGGCACACTCATCCACATCCTGCTGGCATCGTGAGCCTGGAGGGGAGAAGGGAAGTAGTTACGGTTAGAGGAGTAAGGTGGGGTGTGAGGGTGCCTGCAGCTCAAGAACCTGCAGGCTGAGGCAGGAAGAGGCAAAGGCAAGCAATTGCCCCTGGGTGTTTGGCACATGCCACTCCTGAACTATGTTCTGCCTTATCTCTGCAGCTGGTGAACGTACACCCTTCAAAGACTTGTCATCAGACCTCAAGCATCCCAGCATCCTCAGCCCCACGTGGCTCCCTCTTATCCTGAGCTGACTTGTGTGGGCTGTGAATGTCTAGATCCAGCTGTCTTTGCCCAGAATGAAGGACCTTCAAAGGCAGAGCAGGGGCGGGTCTGCTTTGGGTTTCCCAGCATCACCCAACATGAAGTGAGGAGCAGGAAAAGGAGGTAGAGAGAGAGGAAGAGAGGAGGTGGGAGGGGAGGAGGAGGAAAAGGAGAGGAGGAGGACATTGGTGTACCTTGCCAGCCGGGGGGACAGGAACAGACAGTCGGCTGGCCAGGGTCAGACTCACAGTGGCCTCCATGCTCACAGAGGCTTGGAGTGCAGGGGGACAGCACCTCACACTGGCGGCCTGCAGGGAACCAGCAGGGTTTAGATCGTCTTCAAAGACTCATTGCTCCCATCTCCCCCAGCCATGGAGTCCCACCCTGATATCCAGAAAGACAAAGAGAGAGAAAGGAAAGAAGAAAAGAAAACGCAGAAGGGCTGGAGGGATGGCTCAGCAGTTAAGAGCACCTGATGCCCAGTCATGGGGACCAGAGCTCAGACCCCAGCACCTATATAACAAACGCTAACCCCAGCTACAAGTCAGGAGGAAACAGGATGATCACAGGGACTCACTGGCATCAGCCTATCCAAGAAAGCACAACCCCAGGTTCAGGGAGAGACGTGCCTCCGAGGAATGGGTAGAGAGTGGCAGAGGATGACCCCTACGCCCTCTTCTGGTTCTGGCCTCCACGCACAGGCACGTGCACACAGAGACACATGGGGGGGGGGGGCAACTAAACAAAGCTTTAAAGAGAGTAGAAAGGAAACGTGAGAAACGAGGCTATCAGGGACCCTAAGGAGGAAGGTGATGACACACACCCTGGAATCCAGGGGGACAGGTGCAGTGGAAGCCTAGTCCATCACTGGTGCAGGTACCACCAGCCTGGCAGGGCTGGGACTCACAGGCATCTGGAGCCAGGCTCTGGCTGCAGCGGGGGCCACTCCAACCGGGCTCACACACACAGCGGAACCTGGTGGGGGAGGCAGTCAGGGGTGGCAGGCGACCAGAGACAGCAGAAGAGGGGTCAGGAGTTGGGGAAGGGCCTCACCCGCCAGAGGCGTCATGGCAGACTCCGTGGCTGCAGGGCTTGTGGGCACAAGGATGATTCGCAGGCAGGCAGAGAGGAGGCAGGGAGCCGGGCGGACAGAGGCAACGGAATCCATTTTCCCCGTCCACACAGGAGCCGCCCTCTCCGCACGGGCTGGACGCACACTCGTTGATCTCCACATTGCAGAGGGGCCCTGGGAAGCACACAGGCAACTTCGTTCCAGAACAAAGAGAGAGGTGCCGACTGAGGGGAAGGGAACACCTTGTTCTACACCACACAGCTGTGTCCCCATGTGAGGAGGCCCTCATTCTGCTGACGGGGTGACAACCCCAAACCAGTGAGTGAGCAAGCTCAGGATACGACAAGGCAGGTGTTTCTCTCTCTCTCTCTCTCTCTCTCTCTCTCTCTCTCTCTCTCTCTCTCTCTCTCTCTCTCTCTCTCTCTCTCTCTCTCTCTCTCTCCCAGCTTCTCTCTCCATCTCTCCTTTCTCTTTCTGCTTTTTAAAAAGCTTATCATTTATTTAATTTGTTTATTTAATGTGAGTGCTTGTATGTTATGTTGGTGCAGCATGGTGTGTGCCCCGTGCCCATGAGAACCAACAGAGGGGGTTGGATTCCTGGAACTGGGGTTACAAGCAGTTGTGAAACACACTGAACACAGAGAGATCAAACTGGTGCCTACATGGAGCCTTCTACATTCTAGGGTACTTGCTACAGGAAGGTACTCCTGCAAGCTACCAAAGGAGAAACGTGAGCACCAGCCCAGCCACGAACCCTCTGATCTACAAATGGTGTCCCGCCTCCAAGACAGGCTAGTGCAACGGCGGCGTGAAGCTTACGGGAATAACCAACCCATGAAATCTGATTTGACTGAAGGCTCACTCAAGATGAAGCCCATACCCGACATTCGCTTCAGCAGCCAAGAACCTGAGGCTAGGTAGCCCTGGGGCCTAAGATAAAATCAAATACTACTAGTCTTAAGAGTAAAAAAAAAAAAAGTAGTGATAAAATGCCTCCTAATGCTATTCTGCTGTCCTCATAGATCATGAGAGGAGCTTCCCCCTGCAGCAGTTTCCAGTCTGATGTTTCTGTGGGATTCCTGAGTGTGTGGATGAGTGGGTCTCTGATTTTTTTTTGTTTTTTTTTTTTGTTTGTTTGTTTTTTGAGATAGGGTTTCTCTGTGTAGCCCTGGCTGTCCTGGAACTAGCCCTGTAGACCAGGCTGGCCTTGAACTCACAGAGCTCCTCCTGCTAGGATTAAAGGCATGCGCCACCACTACCAGGTGGGTCTCTGATTCTTGTGTCTTCTCTTGAGCTCTTTTCCTTCTGGTTCTGTTTTGTCCAATTCCAATGTGTTAGTTTTTGTTTTATCTTATTTTATTACATTTTTATTTTATATTAAAAAACAAAAACAAAAACAAGCATTTATGAGCTACCATGTGGGTGCCGGGAACTGAACCCCAGTTCTCTGCAAGTGCAGAAACTTCAGAGCCAGCTCTCCAGCACTCTGTGTTGTTTTATTGTGAAACATGATTTTTCCGTGTAGCCCTGGCTGGCCGAGTGCTCACTGATGCTCAGGCTAGCCTGGAACCTGTACCAACCCTCCTGCCTTTACCTCCGAGTATTGAGGTTACAGGCATACATCACCATGTCTGGCCTTGGATAATCGTGTGTGTGTGTGTGTGTGTGTGTGTGTGTGTGTGTGTGTGTGTGCAAATAAAGGGAGGAATGATTCACTGGGGGGGATGCTTGCCACCAAGACTGACAGCCTGAGTTGGATCCCTGGGACCTATATGGCAGGAGAGAACTGAACTTCACACATACACAAAATAAAATGTAATTTTTAAAAAATAAAGTTGTGTGGGGGGAAACCCACCCAAAAGAGACTTGGAGCTTAATCCCTATCCTTCAAGGCCCTCCCCGCTCCATGGCAGTCACCTGCCCACCTGTGAAGCCAGGCTGACAGATGCAATCGTAGCGGTTGATGCCGTCATGGCAGACTCCAAAGGTACAGGGGTTGCTGGCACAATCATCAATGTTGACTTCGCAGTTCACACCTGCAGGGAGGGGAATATGGCAGGGAGTAGCCGCTATTGGCAAGTACTACTCCCAAACCCCTCACGGACACCCCCCACACCCGTATACTATCCCTGTCACAGCCCAGCCCCAGACCCCACCTGTGGTTCCGGGAGGACAGCGGCAGAGGTACTTGTCCACCAAGTCTAGACATTTGCCCCCGTAGCGGCAGGGCTGGCTGCGGCACTCATCCACCTGGCTCTCGCAGCGTGTGCCCGTGTAGCCCGGGGCACACGCACACGAGAAGCTAGCAATGCCATCGACACAGCGCCCATGGTGGCAGGGGTCCGGAGAGCAGTCGTCCACGTTTCGCTCACAGAGAGTGCCCTCAAAGCCTGCAAGAACAAGAGGTTAGGGTCTGCCCCATGGCTTGTCTTGGCCCAATTCTAGCTCAGCTCTCAGGCCCCACCCCTTCTCCCTTCCATTCCACCCTCCAAGCTCTGCCCCTTTCACTTTAAATCCCACTTCCAGCCGCACCCTGAATCCTGCCAAGAACCCTACCTACCTCCATCGTCAGCGCCACACCCCAGCTGTCACTGGCCCTGCCCTGGCCTCGCTGAAACCCTCCTCTGAGGCTGTCCCCAGTTCTGCTATCGGTCCTTGACGCCCGTCAGCCCACCAGCCCACCTTGAGGTTCTTGCCACAGTCTCACGGTCCACCCTCACCCTCTGCACAGCGACACTCATAGCCATCGGGCTGGTCCACACACTTGGCACCATTCCGGCAAGGAGTGCTTGCACATTCATCCACGTCCAGCTGACACATGGACCCACTGAATCCTGGGAGTAAGTAGTGGATGAAAGGCGACATTCATCGTCAAAGCAGGCACCCTGCCTTATTTGAGTAGGAAACCCCCTTTGCTTTGTTTTAAATTAATTTCAAGGTAGTCAAGGCCAGGGACTTGCCAGCCAAGCCTGACCACCTGAGCTCAATTCCCAAGAATAGTGGAAGGAGAGAACCCACATACACAAAAAAAGCAATTAATTAAGTAATTACTTTCTTTTTAAATTTCAGTGTTGTCATAACCTGACATGCCAGGCTCTCTGTGCCAGGTCCTCACCTGAGGGGCAGGTGCAGCTGAAGCCATTGACTCGATCCTTGCAGACACCACCATTGACACATGGACTGCTCTGACATTCATCGATGTCCACCTCACAGTAGGTCCCCGTGAAGCCTGGGAGGGGACAGGATGGGGCACTGGAAGTTCCCTGAGCTCAGGGGGTCTTTTTCACCTTAGTTTCAGGGCTCTGGTCTTGTTGTTTTGGTTCAGCTAGGTTCCTGCTATGTACCGTGAGCTGGCCTCAAACTGATGATCCTCCTGCTTCAGCAGCCCAAATGCTGGGATTACAGGCATGCACGACCACATTCAAACTTAGATTTAGATTCAAACAAGCTGAGCCCTCACCCAGCTGTGGTTTCACATGGACCAAGGTTGATGAAGCTCCCCCTTCAATAACATCTGGCAAAATTCTGCTCTGGCCCTGCACCTGCCTGATCCAGGGTCACAAGGTTTCACCCTAAAGACACAGAACTCTCCCTCTCTCTCTCCAGCCAGGAAGCTTTAAACCCAGTTTGGGGCCAGCAAGATGGTTTAACAGAGAACGACGCTTGCTGCCAAGCCACACGGCATGGAACCCTCATGGTGGAAGGAGAACTGATTCTTGAAAGTTGCTATCCAATCTCCACACTCACACCACGCCATGAACTCATCAATGCATGCGCGCGCGCACACGCGCGCGCACACACACACACACACACACACACACACACACGAATGTAAACTTTCAAAGAAATATTGTTACCAGGCACAGTGGCACATGCCTTTAAATCCAATATTTGGGAAGCAGAGGCAGGTGGACCTCTGTGAGTTCAAGGCCAGCCTGGTGAGTTCCAGACAGGGTCTCACTATGTAGCCCTGGCTGGCCTGCAATTCTCTATGTACTGAAAGTGTGTGTCACCACAGCTGGCTTGAAATTTTAGTTTGTTTGTTTGGTTGGTTGGTTGGTTTTGTTTATTTGGGTGTGTGTGTGTGTGTGTGTGTGTGTGTGTGTGTGTGTGTGTGTGTGTGTGTCACACACATGGGTATCCTCAGAGGCCAGAAGAGGGTGGTATATCCCCTGGAGCTAGAACTACAAGCAGTTGTGAACTGCCCCATATGGGTGCTGGGAACCAAACTCGGTCCTCTAGAAAACCAGGAATTACTCTTAACCACTAAGCTACCTCTCTAGCCCCTTTTTATTTTATTTTATTTGAGACAGGGTCTCACGTCATTATCCTAACCATCCCAGAACTTACCATGTGGACCAGGCTGCCTCTGCCTCACAAGTGTTGGGATTACAGGCAAGTGTCTCCATGCCCAGCATATTTTTTTTTTTAATTAATAAAAATGAACCCAGTTTCACCCTGGCTTTTCTTGCCCAGGCTCCAGCCTTCAGGACCCACCCAAGCCACACCCACCACCCACCTGCCATGCAGATGCAGGTGAACTGGCCAATTCGGTCAAGACACGTGGCCTGGTTGCGACAGGGCCCAGACAGACACTCATTGACATCCGTCTCACATCGAGGTCCAGTGTAGCCACGGCCGCATTGACACAGGAACGAGCCCTGTGTGTTCACACACCGGCCCAAATGTTCGCAGGGATTGGCACCTGCGGAATGAGGGTACAGCCAGGATGGGCATGGCCAACCACAGCTCCACCTTTCCCCTGTTTTCAGACTCATTTCCAGAAGGTGCCCCTCTCACCAATGGAGCACTCGTCCACATCCTGGTCACACGCCCCTCCGGTGAAGCCAGGCGGACAGGTGCAGATGGCCCGGCCGCTCACGGGGTTTGTGTCACAGATAGCATCCTCATGGCAGGGATTGCTGACACAGGCATCATCCAGATGACACAAGAGGCCTGAGAAAAGGTAAGCCAAGATCAAGAGCTGGTCCCCAGGTCTTCCCAAAGTCCCCACATGCCTAGCATTTGAGGAAGAAGGTTGGTTCTAGGGATGGAACACCAGGACCCTGCGCATACAAAGCATGAATGATGCCACTGAGCTACACTCCCAGCTCCTTGCTTTTGGTTTATTATTACTTTTTTAATTAATTTACTTATGGGGGGGTTGCAAATGTCATAGTGCATGTATAGAGGTCAGAGGACAACCTGGGGGAGTGGATACTCCCCTTCTACCTTGTGGGTCCCAGTGATGGAATTTAGATGGCTAGGCTTATTCAGCAAGCACCTTTAACCCTCTGAGTGTCCATCTGGCCCATCTCGATTGCTTCCTCTTGTTACTGTTTGTTTGTTTGTTTGTTTTTTGAGGCAGAGTTTCTCTGTGTAGCCCTGGCTATCCTGGAACTCAATTTGTAGACTAGGCTGGCCTGGAACTCATAGAGATCCACCTGCCTCTGCTTCCTAAGTGCTGGGATTAAAGGCGTGCGCCACCACTGCCTGGATGCCTCCTATTTCTTGCTTATATTAACCACCAGCGTGCTTAGTATCTGTTCTTTTTAAGCCATTTATTATGAAAAAAAATTGAGATACACAGAATATGTTTCACATATGGAGCACTTGGTTCACTATTATTTATCTATTAACCTGTTTCTTCTAAACTATTTGAAAATAACTTGGAAATGTTTTACAAACAAGTCACTAAGGGCTGGAGAGATGGCTCAGCAGCTAAGAGCACTAGCTGCTCTTCCGGAGGACCCAGTTTTGATTCCCAGCACCCATATAGAAGCTCACAACCATCTGTAACTCCAGTGCCAGGGGATCTGATTAATTCTTCTGGCCTCTAAGCATACCAGTCATGCATGTGGGACCAGACATACATGCAGCCAAAACACACATGTAAAATAAACTTTTTTGGGGGAGAGAGAGGGGGTTTGAGACAGGATTTCTCTATGTAACAGCCTTGGCTGTCCTGGAACTCACTTTGTAGACCAGGCTGGCCTCGAACTCACAGAGATCTACTGCTGGGATTAAAGGTATGTGCCACCATTCCCAGCTATCCAAGTGCCCCTCTTAACATGTTCTCTGACCCTTCTAACTTCTCTATGTCCTGCCTCTTTCCCAGTCAGACCTCTCAGGAGTTCTCCCATTCCAATAGCGTCTGCCTTGGGCTGTGTACCAGCATCCTCACAGGACAGAGGCTCAACCTTCCTCCCAAATCCAGTCTCCAGCATCCCCTTCCCTCCCCGCTTCCTTCCTCCCTCCTCCCCTCCCTCATCTCTGCTGTCTTTCTTCATGCTAAGGATTGAACCCAGGGCCTGGTGCACTCTAAGCACACACTCTACTGGTAAGCGACACTCCGGCCCCATCACAATCGTTCTAACACCCAAATCAGAATCTGTCTTCCCCTTCCATTCTGAAGCCATCAATGGCATCCTGTTGCCCACAAAGAAAATGGCCACTCACCTGTCTTGCCCATGGGGCAGGCACAATAGAACGAGGCTACACGGTCATGGCAGGTAGCCCCGTGGAAGCACACGGCTGTGGCACAGTCATCGATGTTCTGACTGCAGCTCTCGCCCGTCCAGCCGTTGACGCACACACAGCTGTGGCCACCCAGCAGGTTGAAGCAGGTGCCCCCATTGTGGCAGGCATTGGGCTGCAGCTGACACTCATCCACATCCTCTGTGCAGAACTGGCCTAGGGCACAAAGATGTACTGGTCTAGGCTTCTCCTGTGTGCCCACCCGACGTCAGCCCCCAGCTCCCGGCAGCCCTGGTGCCCACCTGTCCACTCAGGAGGGCACTGGCAGTTGTAAGTGTTGACACCGTCCACGCACGTTCCCCCATTGAGGCACCGATGTCCAGGACAGTCATCCACGTTGACTTCGCAGTTCTGGCCCTCGAAGCCTAGTGGGGAAGGACAAGGTAAGGACGGTCACTAGGAGGCTAGCCTACTGTCCCCAGCTGCCTCCCCTGGGTACCCCTTACTCACCAGGAAGGCAAGCACAGTCATAGGTGGTATCACTACTCTGCCTACAGGTGCCACCGTTCCGACATGGGGAAGGGGCACAGGGCACCATAGGGTTCTCACACAGCAGCCCTGTGTAGCCAAGTGGGCACAGGCAGCGGAAGGAGCCAGGAGTGTTGAGGCAGGTACCGCCGTGGCGGCAGGGCCCACCCGCTCGGCACTCATCTACGTCACCCCGGCAGCTGCGACCCTGGTAGCCCGGCGGACAGGAACAGACGAAGCGGCCGTCCGACCCCACTGAGCAGCGGGCACCGTGCGCACAGGGGCTGCTGAGGCAGGGGTCTGGCAGGGAGCAGTCTGGGCCTGGAAGAACCAGGAGAGGGTGAGCTTGGGACTGACCACATCTTAACCTAACTCGGGCTCTCATCCAAGCCCACCCCTTCACCTCGGAAGCCACGGGGACAACGACAGGAGAACCGGGCAGTGCCCGCCACCACCGAACTCTGGCAGACGCCACGCCCAGCACAGGGGCCTGAGTGGCAAGGATCTTCCAGCTGGCACCGCTCACCCACCCAGCCTGGCAGGCACCTGTGGGAAGAAGAGACGTGTGGTGGGCACAATATAAAGCATGGTGATCCCCGACGGATAACACAAGACGCACTCATCCAAGAGCACACTTGCCAAACAAACTGTAAGACACATCCATTTGGTCTTTCTTCTTATTTTACATAGGGTTTCACTACATACTCCTGGCTAGCCTGGAGCCCACAGGAATTTATTTGCCTCTGCCTCTACCTCTAGATCGCTAGGTTTAAGGTGAGTCCCACCAGTCTCGGCCACACTCTTTTATTCTGACAACAAATATTATCAAATATTGCCTACTACAAACTAAAACATGGCAGCAAACAAAATAAAAATGATTCTTACCCTCTTGGTCCTCATAGCTAGGTCAGGCAAAGAGAACAAGTAACAAATTAATATGAAACATGCCAGCAACAGCTTGTATAAGCCACAAGGGCTTGAGAAGGACATGGTACCCACACCCACCCCCCCACCCGAAGACATGCCCATGTCCCAGAAGTTGTGACTATCATCTTTTTTTTTTCCTTTTTAAAGAGATGGTCCAGGCAAGGTGGCTCATACTTATAAACCTGGCACTCAGCAGGTGGATCAGGAGTTTAAAGGAGCCTTAGCCACATAGCAAGTTTGAAGCCAGTCTTGACTACATGAGACCCTGTCTCAAAACAAATACACATATTTTAAAACAAATACTGAGAGGGCTGGGAATATAGCTCAGTGGTACTGCACTTGCCTAGGATACACAAAGCTCTGGGTTCAGTCCCCAGCACAAGAAAAAAGAAGGAAGGAAAAAGAATTTTTGCCAATATGATTATGAAGGATTTTAAGATGAATTCACCCTGGATTATCCAAGCCATTCCAAATGTCTTTTTTAAAATGATTTATTTATTTTACTTTTGTATGGATGAGTTTTTTTCCTGCATGTATGTATGTGCATAATGTCCATGCCTGCTACCCGTGGAGGTCTGAAGAGGGCAGTGACATTGAGGATAGTTGTGAGCCACCATATGGGTTCCAGGAACCAAACCCAGGTCCTCTGAAAGAGCAATAAGTGCTCTTAACTGCGGAGCCATTTTTCCAGCCCCTATTCATTTATTTTTAATTATGTGTATACATGTGTGGCTGCGTGTGGGCATGTGTGCAGTGTCCTCAGAGGCCAGAAGAGGTCATCGGAACCCCTGAGGCTGGAGTTACAGGTGGGTAACCATCCGAGCACTGGGAATCAAACTTGGGGGTCTCTGCAAAAGCAGTATGTGCTCTAAACCACTGAGTTATTTCACCAGCCTGGACATACAGTATCTTTAGAAGAGAAAGGTTGGAATGGGGCTCAATGGTAGAGCTCTTGCTGGCTTGTGCAGAGCCCTGGGTTCCATTCCCAGGACACAAGAGAAAGAAGTCAGGGCAGCAAGAGAAAGGAAGGAGAGAGACTGAGATAGAAAATGATTGATTTAGGAGAGAGAGAGAGAGAGAGAGAGAGAGAGAGAGAGAGAGAGAGAGAGAGAGA